AAAATTAAAAAAAAAAAAAAAAAAAAAAAAAAAAAAAAAAAAAAAAATAGGTTAAAATTTTAAATAATTATAATACTCTTTTATAATAAGTTTTATTAGAGTGTTTTAAAAGAAAAAAAAAAAAAAAAAATGGTTCTTACCGAATTAGGAACACAAATAACTAATGCATTTCGAAAGCTTCAATCAGCAACAGTAGTAGATGATAATGTAATTGAAGAATGTTTAAAAGAAGTAATAAGAGCCTTAATTTTGTCTGATATAAATATAAGTTATTTAAAAGACATAAAAAGTAACATAAAAAATAATATTGAAAAAAACATTGATATATATGGAAACAACAAAAAAAAGTTAGTTCAAAAATATGTTGTAGAAGAATTAATAAATTTACTAGAAGGAAAAAAAGAAAGTTATGTACCAAAAAAAGGAAAAAGAAATGTTATTTTATTTGTCGGATTACAAGGTAGTGGAAAAACAACTACCTGTACAAAATATGCTCACTACTATCAAAAAAAAGGATTTAAAACAGCTTTAGTTTGTGCAGATACATTTAGAGCAGGAGCGTTTGATCAATTAAAACAAAATGCAGCAAAAGTAAAAATTCCCTTTTACGGAAGTTATACAGAGGTGGATCCTGTTAAAATTGCAAAAGATGGTGTGAATGCTTTTTTAAAAGATAAATATGATTTGATTATTGTAGATAGTTCTGGTAGACACAAACAAGAAAATGAACTATTCGAAGAAATGAAACAAGTAGAAAACTCTATTAAACCTGAAGAAATTATATTTGTAATTGATAGCCATATTGGCCAAAGTTGTCATGAACAAGCTATGGCTTTTAAAAATTCAGTTACTATAGGTAGTATAATTATAACAAAAATAGATGGTCATGCAAAAGGAGGAGGAGCATTATCAGCAGTAGCAGCTACAGGTTGTCCTATAACATATATAGGAACAGGAGAGCATGTAAACGATTTTGAAAAATTTGAAGCAAAATCGTTTGTATCAAGGTTATTAGGTTTAGGAGATATAAGTGGCTTAGTTTCAACAATAAAAGAAGTTATAGATATAGATAAGCAACCTCAATTAATGAACAGATTATCTAAAGGGAAATTTGTTTTAAGAGATATGTATGACCAATTTCAAAATGTATTTAAAATGGGTAGTCTTAGTAAAGTAATATCTATGATACCAGGTTTTGGTAATAATTTAATTAGTAAAGGAACAGAAAAAGAAGGAATTGATAAAATTAAAAAATTTATGGTCATAATGGATTCTATGACTAACGAAGAATTAGATTGTGTTAAACCACTTAGTGAAAGTCGTTGTATAAGAATTGTTAAAGGATCCGGCACTAAGATGCAAGATATAAAGGAGTTATTGGAACAATTTAAATTTTTGCAAAAAATGGTTTCAAAAATGGGTAAATTGGGCTTAAGGGAAAACAATATAAGTAATTTAATGAGAAATCAAAAACAATTATTAAGTAAAATGAATAATATGATGGATACTAACATGTTGAAACAAATGGGAGGAGCTAATAATATGGTAAATCTTTTAAAAGAATTTAGCAAAATGGAAGACTTAGGAGGTACCATGTCTAATATGATGAAACAAATGGGATTAAAAAAATAATTATATTTTTATGTTAAATTAAAATAACAAAAAAATATTAACATATAATCATAATTTAAACAATTTGATGATGTAACATATAATTAAAAATAATTTAAACATTAAGTCAAATTTTCTAAAATCTGTCAATACAGGAAACATGTAAAATTGTAAGTTATATAAGTTTAGATATTAAAAATATATATATGTATATATGCAGAGGAATATTTTTTTTTTTTTTTTTAAGATACTTTTGCAATGAATCAATGATAAAAAAGAATACAATGTTGTTTACATTTTTTTTTTTTTTTTTTTTTTACATAAAATTACTTTTATATTTTAAAAAATGTAGGAATAAATAGTAGTTGGTAATGTAATAAAAAAAATTAAGAGAAAATGGTATATTGAATTCTCAAAGTATTTAATTAAAAAAATAATTTATATATTGTGATTTTTTTTTTTTTTTTTTTTCTTTTTTTTTTTTTTTTTAAGTTAAAATTTTTATAAATAAAAAATAAAAATTTTTTTGTTGTTTTTTTTTTATTTATATAATTTATTTTTAATTTTTCTCTAATGAAATAAGGATATTCACTCCTTTTGAAATATTCTTTGTCATTAATTTATAAAACTTTTAAATGTTATTTAAACTAATTTAATATAAAATATGTTTTTTCTCTAATTTCTTTTCTCAAAAAATTTAATTTATTCATATATTGATTTTATATATAAGAACAATTTTTTGTCAACCATAATTATTTGCAATAATTCTTAAAAATATTTTATATCACATATATATATATATATATGATTTGAATATTTATTTTTTTTGAATCATCTATTAGAAATTTAAGTCTATTAAAGTTTTAATAAATAAATTAAAAATTTTTCATTCTTACAAGTACATATTTTCTATTAAAATAATGTAATTCAAAATTTAATTCAAAAAAAAAAAAAAAAAAAAAGTTGCATTTATGTAAATTTATATAATTTTCATAATTTGCAATTTTATTAAAAATAAATAAATAAAAATATATGCGGAATCATGAAAATAGAATTTTTCTATTACAATATTTAAAATAATATGCGGTGCATAAGAAAATAAAAATTGGAAAATAAAGGCATAAAAAAATTACAAATAATGCAACTATTAAAACTATATGAAGAATGAAATATCTTAAAAATAAAAATTATATGCATCATTAAATACATATATATATATATATATATATATATATATACACGGTAAAGCACACAATATATTAAGTATTATTAAAACAAAAAAATAAAAAAAAAACTATATAAATAATAATATTAATAATAGTAGTAATAATAGTAATACGAAAATAATGATGATGATAAGTAATAGCAAAATGAACAATATAATAATTGTAAAACAAAATAATATTTAAGAAATTAAAAATAAATGAAAATATAAAAATAAAAATAAAAATATAATTATTTTGTACTTCGGATTCAATCATTAATTAAATAAAAAAATTTATAAACATTAATTTGTTATTTTTTTTAAAAAAAAATTGTATTTTTTTTTCATTAAGGCAAATGATTCTTTTTCATTTTCACATGTTTTATCTTTTGTTTTGTCATTTTTATCATTTTCATCGTAACTATTTCTTTTTTTATCTAATTTCAATCTCCTAATAAATATGAAAGTATATTATATTTATGTATAAATATTAATTTAAAATTATATATAGGAAAAATAAATGAAAAAAATTAACAAAACTAAAAATATATTGTTATATATTACTTCAATGAAGAAGAGGAATTAAAGATCTTGAATTCATAACTTGAAAGTGTACCTCTTATCCAGCGATGATTTAGAATATCTGAACACTTCAAAAAAAAAAAAAAAAAAAAAAATAATAACATTAATAAAGGATTAATATATATTATTAATAAAAATATATAGAATAAAAAAAATGAATTTTGTTTATTCTTAATTATTATAAAAATATATTTAAAATATATATTTTTTTTTATTATTTTAATTATTTTATTTAAGTAATACACTAAATCTTTTATCTGGATCATGAACTAAAATATTTTCTAATAAATTTTTTAATCCTGGTTGTACATTCAAGGATTTTTCTTTTGACAATCTGAATAAAATATATAAAAATAATATAAAAAAAAAAAAATATATACATATATATATAATTAAAAATATATTATTTATATATAAAGAATATATTATAATTTTATTAATACAGTTCAGGTATATTTGCTTTAAGAATGTTGTTATATAATTCATTTGCATTTCTTCCGGTGAATGGAACCTTTCCAGTTACTATAAAAAAAATTAGAACACCTAAACTCCATATATCAATCTATTTGAAAAAAAAAAAAAAAAAAAAAAAAAAGAGAAAAGAAATAAAATAAATATATAATCAAATTATTTAATTATAAAGAATTTTGTCTTTTTTGTGCTTTATATATATCCTTATTATTTTTATTAATAGTAATTACTTTTATTCCATATTCTTTATTTTTTATTATTTCTGGAGCTAAATAAAAATCACTACCACAAACAGATCTACTTTTTACAACAGTTTGATTTGATGGAGTTATTTTTGCTAAACCAAAATCTGATAATACTACACTTTTTACATTGTCTTTTGTTCTTAACAAAATGTTTTCTGGCTTAATATCTCTATGCATAATCTTTAATGAATTAATATATTGTATTGCTTTTGTTAATTTAATAATTATAATTCTTGCATCTGAATGAGCACAACTTCCATTAATTTTTATAAATTCAAATAAACTACCTCCCTCACAATATTCTAATATTAATTTAACTATATAATATTCTAAAAAAAAATAAAATAAAATAAAATAAAAATAAATAAATATATATATATATATAGTGGATATTAAAATTATTATTTCTAACTTTTCCATATTTTTTCATGATAATCAAGTATTTTAACTATATACGGATATTTATTATTTAATGTTTTCATTATAAATAATTCCCTTTTAAAGCAGTTATAATGAGCTGTTTTCTTTAAAGGGCAACACATTAGCTATTCAAAAAAAAAAAAAAAATATGTTAAAAAATCATAATATTACAAATATTTTTTAAACACCATTGTGTTAAGGAATATATATAGTAAATTATAAAATAAGATATGTGATTTTTCTTATATTTTTTTTTTACTTTCATTGCACATTTTTTTTTATTATCTCCTCTACAACAGAACACTTTTGAAAAATTACCACTATATAAAAAAGAAAAGAAAAAAAAGAAAATTATAAAATATTTTAATATTAAGACAGTTAAAGTTTAAATAATAACATTAAAAATATATTACTCTCCAATTTTATTAATTATTTTATATTTTTTTATAAATTCTATGTTTGAATCATTTTCTTCCTTTTTTTTTTGTTTTTTTTTCTCAGAAGACTTATTTTTTGAGTTTTTATCTAATATAAAAAAAAAAATCATACAATGATTTTGTATTTAAAAATAACTAAAAAATAATAATATAAATATAGCTTATAAAAGTATAAATATATATTAAGTTTAAAAATATTACTCTATAATATGTGAACACAATGTAAATTTTTATTTTAATTCTTTTACATATAATTGAAATATGTAAATATATTTTAATTACCTGAATTACTTTTTCTTTTACTTATAGTAGTACCCATTTTTTATATTTTTTTCTTCTTTTTTTGGGATAAACAAAATTTTAAGCATAATAAATTTAAGAAGAAGAAAAAAAAAAAAAATTAAAAAAAATATATATACTTTTTTCGGAAATTCCCTTTTAGTTATTTTAATAGATATGATATCATTTTCTATTGTTACATTAGATTTTTTTTTTTTTTTGAAAAATTAAAAAAAGCACTAGTAACAAAAATGAATTATTTTAATTTTTTATAAAAGAATTTAACATTTCAATGTTTACAAAACTATTACAAAACAAGGGAATTAAAAATACTATATATGTAAAATTATTAATATATATATATAACTATTAAAATCAAAGTCTAAATTATAAAACGGAAAATAACATATACTAAAACTGTATAACAATGCTAAAAATATATTAGAAATTTTTTCAATGATTACAAAAGAAATAAAAACATTTATTATAATAACAAAAATAAGAAGTTTAATTAATTTTGAACTATTAATATTAAAATGAAAATATAATAAATAAATAAATACATGTTAATTTATGTATTATAATTTTTATGTATGATTATTTCTTGATATTCAATAATAAAATATTAGGAAAAAGAATAATTAAATTTGTCTTATTTGTACTAAAAAAAAAAAAATAAAATAAATAATAATAATAATAATAATAAATAAATAAATAAATATAATAAAACAAAAGAAAATTAAAAAAATATTATAAAGTTTAAATTGTATATGAATATTTATTTATATAAATTTTATCTCACATTCATTTAATATAGTGTGCAAAAATGTATATAAAATATATATACATAAAAGTATAAATATATATTCATTTATACTAAAGAAATCCTAAATAAAACGGAATTCTAAAAAAAATAGGTAAATTCATTATGTTTTTTTTTTTTTTTTTTTTTTTAAAAAATATTTAAATTTATTTTTTAAAAATAAAAATCATATTTGAAAAATTAGAAAAAAAATTTAGAAATTCTTAGGTTATTAAAATTATGAAAAAAAAATTATGTACTTATACTGAAAGATAAAAATTTTCTAAATACAACTTAAAAAAAAAAAAAAAATCTTAAATATAACAAAAAAAAAAAAAAAAAAAAAAAA